TCAGATAGATACTCTCTAGTAGTAATAAGAGATAGTAAAGTGGATCGTACAAAAGAGGATCTAATCTACTACTTGCTCATAAAGATCCACATGCATATCTATCGGGCATGGTGGCCACGTGGCACTTCCTTGGGTCCCCACTCCCAGTGTCCCTTCATTTGTTTGTCAACTCCTTTGAAAAACGATACAAAATACAAAAAGACATTATCAAAATCAATATCTATATCTAATTTTAAGAATTTTTCATCCACCAATAACAAGAAAGAGAGTAAGTTACTGAATAAAGATATTAAAACACTTGGTTACTGAATTCATATACAGGAAAACAAGATTTCAAAATATATAATGTTGATTTCAGATTTTTTTTTCTAAATGGTAGTACTAATGCTCAGATGCTAATAGTTTTGTATATGAAAACTTGAATAATGTAAAGTTCAAAAATGAAAAACACTATTTGTGTTTTCTAGTGCTGTTATCAAGATTGTTTTAAATCTTTACAAGATGTAAGACTATCTTATCTTTAATATGTAATCTAAACTTTCATGTAAAGATGGTATATCAATGCAATTTAAGGCATACCATATCTCACATCATATATAATCTACAACTTAGAAACTATCATATACTATAAAATTTTATGCACATAAAATATTATATTATTATTATTCTTTGTTTTCTGAAAATCTTACACACACCATGAACGCATGAAAACAAAAGAAAGTAGATGAACCGTAGATAATATGTTTCCAAGGAGGGAACGAAATAGGGGTTGGCTTCTTGGGATTGAGTCTTACAAAAATCGGGTGCCTCTTGCATTTCACCATCTACCAAACTGACACTTACCCAATTCTAGTATCTATTTATTTATGTGTTTCAATTTACATTAAATATGTTACAAAAATAACACATTGAAAATATATTCAGTTTTGATTATTTCTCTCAACCAGCTTGCACATTCGTCTTGGAATAATCAATTCCATGTCCTTTTGTATCAACTTTTTTTTTCTCAAACTCTTTATAATGATGAAAAAACTAAATATTCATAGGAGACTAAAATGTTTATTACCACTACCACTTTTGTTCTTACAAAGTAAAAACCGAGATTGTGATAGGTTTAGGTTAAGACAAGGCATGCTTTTATAGAGTTGAGAAAGGAGAAGAACGAAGAAGGAATAATTGGGTAATGGTTTGTTTAAGCCATACAAAACACAATTGATTCAAAGCGAGGTCTTCTCTATAAGGCTGGAGATATGGGCCAAACAGGTGGCCCCATTATGATGGGTGACCTATGGGACAACGCTCACAACGTTGTGGTCCCACCGCAAACGTTATTTGTCTCTTTCTTAGCCTCATTTAGTTGCAGTGGGAGTGTGGTAATACTATTTGAAATATACTACATGTTTTCTTACTTCTATTTTTCTGTAAAAGACTAAAAGATTTACATTAAGGGAAACACAAAGCTCTCAGATTAGCAACTGATTTACGGCTAGATGTGATTTTAGACAAAATTAAATGACCAAGTGACAAACGCAGCTTTCTATAACTACTGACATTAGAAAGAACAAAGTGGTGCCTGTGAAATGGGCTTCCACTACCATATGTGTCGGCTGCGCCATGAAATATCATCACTCTACAGTCCACACTGATACATCCTCTGTAGCCAGCGGTACCTTTAAACGTCTGAAAATCAGAACCTTTCCTGTAAATTCTATATGCCAGAATATAACATCCTTTTACTTCTGTCGGAAACAGAGAATTTTTTTTCTTTCATAAAATATATGTGTTAAGATAATTTTCTTTGATGACAGTGGTTGAACATACAATGATTTTCTTTCATAATATATTTATTTGAAGACAAATTCTTTTTTTATGACAGAGATTGAAACATACAATGATGTTCTGTGTGATCAAAGGCATGATAAACACAGGTTGTTATCTATGTTGATGGCTACGTACTATCCAGAAGATTGTTGTGGGAGTATCATTGAATGTAACCCTTGCGAATCCTGGAAAAATTTTTAGTCACAGACCAAAAAGAAATGGACTACCTGCGTGAATGTACGTGAGTGCACGCAATAATTGATACAGGAAAAAACTGGTAATGCTCTCTAGTCAAATCATAATTGGCTTTATTTAACTAGATGAAGGATCAGATTCCATGAGCTCAAACACAACATATATATCTTTAAATTCTCTTCTCGAAGGAGGGATCTAATGTGCTTGATTTCAACAATATATGGGTGGATGCCTTAGGAGTCTTAGCAGTTTTATCTCACGCAAATGCCTTGCAGCATCAGAGAGTATCATGTATTTTATACATGGCCACTTTCTGACGAGAAAGTGTGTCTATAGCTGAGCAAACAACTCCATAACTGCCTTTTCCGAATACTTCTTGGATTTTGAATCTGTTCGCATCACCATAATCAGAAAAAAGAACTCCATCTCCAGATTGTTCTGTTCTTACAGTTTGCAATTTCAAGTAAAAAAACACACTCTATAGTAGGACATAAACCTTCAAAAACCACAAAACTGTATGAAAGCTACAATGATTCACTATCACTCAAAGTAAGTTACACCTAAATCCATTATTTTCTCAATCAACCAACTCTCTGATCGTAGTCAAGAGAAAGAAAAATACAAAACACCTTAAGGTTCCCAACATATCCAGCTACTGAAACACTAAAGGAATCAAAACCACATTGCCATACTAGTACAAAGACAACTACGATCAACAATCTTATAAACTGGCATACAACTGACGTAAAGCAAAAAAAGAAAAAAAATTAGACATAGCGAACACATAAAGCAGAGGTCATAACAACATGACAGTTTGAGACTTTGACATAAAAGAATAGAACTGCCGTTGGTTACAAAGAGATTGAAGGTTTTGGAGTTCAAAACTCATGCAAAGCCACATCTCGTTCTTCTTCTTCTCCGGCAACACTTCACCGAGAGAGACAGAGTCGCGGGCGAGTTTCTCATTCAGCTCTGCGCCTCAACAAGAAAAGACTCCGCCTTTCTCTAGCTTTCACCAAACCCACGAAAATCGAACGAAAGCAGAGCTTAATAAGCTAAATCGAGCAGTTGCTTTATACGCACGTTTTCGTCGGCAAGAGGGAGATTTGAAAGAAGAGAGAAATATAGAGTGATATATATATATATATGAATTGCTGCTGCTTTTTCCCTCCAAAAAGCATTTATTTATCAAGTGTTACATAAAGTAGCATGCACATTATTCATCAAGATCATTGATAGGCTATCATTCATTCATGTCGTCTTTAACAAACTTTAGAATTGTAGTCTTTATAGACAAATCATATGTTACTAGGATAAGACAATTTAAAATAATTTAAAATTTACATATGATTGTTTTTATATGTATTTGAAATTTCAGAATTTTAGAAATTTTATATAATTATATATAAACAGTATCAGAAACAATTGTAATTACAACTGTAGATTAAAACTTAGAATTTAATGGACTTAATTTCATATATTTTTTCACTTTTCAGTGTTTGAGTGATGAAAAATAAACAAAGTGTCACTTGGCTTTATTGTTATAGTATTAGCAAGTTCTCTAATGATTTCTTAAGAAGCCGTTGGTAAAATATTTGCATTTAAAATATATAAATTTTGAAAATTAACTTAATATAATTTATTTATTTATCTAATAATATTAAAATTATATTTTTTACAAATTATTATTTTAAATAGTTTTATAAAAAATTAAGTGAAATTTTAAATTATTTTATTTTTAAAATAAAATATTTTAAGTTTTCCAAATACAAATAAACAATTGAAAATTAATTATGGTCATGATTTAACATAACCATAATGATTTAAAAATTACTTTTTTAAAAAATTAACAAATTAAAAATTAACTCAGTTTTATATCATGATTATATATTTTAAAAATTATTTATGGTTATGAGAATTTTACGTTTACGTTTCACTCCTATTTGTCTTCAATTTTTTCTCTTGTTGTGTTTTTTTTTATTTTGGTTATTATTCGATATAAATATTTATTTTGAAGTTTATTCTCATTTCGTTTATTTGTTTTGACCTGAGATTTATAAAATACTTAAGATTTAAAATAATTTAAGAGATACATACTTAGGTTAAGATCTGTACTTTCTGCACAATAAATATTTTATATTTATTATTTATTTTATATTTTTATACATATTAAAAAAATAAAATAATAAATGTATATATTAAATAACTAAGAAATCAGTCAATATTATGTAATAAATTGGAGTATGCATATAAATTTAACTATCACACTTGTTTATTCGCAATTAGGGTAAATAAATCAAAATAATTAATCTTATATATTGTATATGATGTATAATTAAATTTAAATGATATAAACATAGTAATATAGCACACTTTTAATATGGGTATTAATTAAATGAGGTTTTTACTCATATAATTTTATGATTATTTGCATATTTATGTAACAAAACTTTACACCAACAATTTTTTTTTTTAATGTAAGATGTTTAGTAGTTTCAATAATTTATAATCATTTTTAAAAAAACAATAACATATTTCAAAATTAAAATATTAACTTTTCAATATATGTTCAATGCAAATATCAAAATATAAGTATGTATTTTCATACGATGTATAGTTTAACTTAAACGATATGAAATATATAAAGAAAAAAACACCCGCAGCAAGGGGTCCTTAGGGAGAATTCTTAAGGAAATATTAAATTTATAATCAATAGGTCCCATGAACAGTTAAGGATTTTATGTAAGGATTGATCCTTACACTATTCGCGGACTTCACTGCCCACGTGGCGGTCCACGATTGGTCAGTTTTTTTTAAAAGAAAAAAATCTAAAATATCGTTATATAATCTGAAATTTTTTTTTTTTTTCCTAAGGATTCCTCCTAAGGATCTATTGTTGTGGCTGCTCTTAGTTTTGTGAGAGAGAGACCGAGCAAAGAGAGGAGAGTTGAGAGAGATCGAGCGAGAGAGGTTGAGAGGTTGCGATGAGATCTAAAGTTTTGTTAGTTCTTGCGGTCTTTCTAGGTCTTGGATCCCCGACCAAGGTAATATATTTACTTATCTATTAACTGTTTTGTTTTTTCTTTCGTATCCATTCAAAGTTTTCTACCAACATGTAGATGTTTATTTCATTTCTTCTTACATACTTGGGATCAAAACAATATTGAATGTGTAGAGATAGATAAACAACTCGCATTCACTCACGAGCTCTTAAAAAAATCACAAAATACAGGTTTTCTTCATTTTTTATTTTATTTTATAGATTTCGTTTTTCTATATTTATTCTTGTTAACTAATATTTGTTTGTCAACAAAAATAACAGAAAAAACCATCAGAATTTCCAAAACCGGTTCAAGTAAAAAAATTAAGCTCGTGGAGGACATTTGAATCGTACGTGAGCATGGAAAAATGTCCAGCATGATAGGAAGAGTGGAAACTGGTGGCTGAGTCTAGGATCCAACCATTTATTGGTTGGATATTGGCCCTCTGAAATTTTTGCAAATTTAACTTATACGGACGAGGTGCACTGGGGTGGTGAGGTGGTAGATTCACCTCGTTTTGGCAGACAGACGATGATATGTATGGGCTCTGGGCATTTCCCAGTTGAAGGTTTTGGCAAAGCTAGTTACAGCCGAAGCCTGGGGATCATCGACAAGAACAACATTCTCCAGCCGGCTCAAGATGTAGAACTAAAAGCAACCACTCCAGAATTTTACAACATAAAAAACTTGTCTAGAGATGGTGGAAATGGTAAGCCGACTATTTAGTTGAGAATGTAATGTGACTTACGAAGAGCATAATCTTGTAATTCTAAAAGGAAATAGAAAAAACACAGATATCCATATGAATCTAAATCGGTTTTACAAAATGTTTTTTTCCTAGAAATTATATATAATAAATACTCATCTTTAGAATGACAAAAAGAATTATACAACTAGACAGAATAGCATGTATAAGTGGAGCGATCGAATAGAGCCCCAAATATAAAAATAAAAAAATAAGAAAAAATTAAGCAAAAAATAGGTAAAAATTAAGAAAAATTAAGTTTGTTTTAAAGAAATATATAGATAAATTATGATATTTTTAAATATATATATATATATTGTTATATTAGAACTTATAATTTTTAAAGAAACATCAAACATAGTTATTAACTTTTAAATTTTTTTCTTTAAATCATAAATATATCCTTAATTTTCTTTTTTGAACAGAATCTAAAATTTATTTGAAACGGCTCTACAACTAGAACATAAATGAATAATACTTCAACCTTTTTTACCTGGATGGGACGATACCGTTTTGCATTATGCACTAGTGATGTTTATTATTAAAGCTAGCTAGCAACATTAAGTTCCTAGAGCAAGAAATATAAAATTTTGAAAATCCTCAAAACTGTTATATACAATTTTCAACTATTAGTATTTGATGATATAATCTTATACATTTTTCTTTTGACATCGACAAAACAGATTCATATGCCAAAAAAAAATAATGTATAAGATTATATCATCAAATACTAATAGTTGAAAATTTTATATAATCTTATACATTTAAAAAAAGAAAATTAATGTGTCAATATACATTTTCCTTTGATTTTCACGCCATTTTCAATTTTGTTTAAAAAAAACCGGCGAGTGAAAGATGAGAAATCTAATTTTGGGCTAAATTTAGGTCCACTAAGGCCCATATATGGTAACACACACGTGTGTGTTGATGCATACACGTGTTTGTTTGTGCTCGGCTTCGTCTTCTCCACTCGAATGCCACATAGCAGCTGCTAATCTCTCCGTCTCCTGATTCAACTTGAATCGGTGCAGAAACACGTAGGCGAGAAGTTCTCGTCGAATTGAGCTGCGTTTGATTCGATTAAGATTCTTCTTGTGTCTCTCAATTGATTCCGAGATCTCTGCAGCAGAAAGTATGAAACGTTGATTGAAGTTATGAATAATGCGAATCATAATCTCTGGACAGATGGTCTTATATGCGCCTTCGAGTTCCATCAAAGTCGTCGTAAGATAACGTATCAAAAGTTACTAACTTTTTACCATTTTTATTTTATTTTTACTTTCTCTTGTTTAACTCTTTAACTAACTGTGAACAGTGTTTTTATTGTTGTGATAGTAAGAAACAAGAATGTAAAGGAGAAGAAGAAGCAAACTTTAGGAGTTATTGGCGACCAATTGGTTGGGATAGGCTCTGTGAGCTTGTTCAGACAGTTAAAGTTGATTGGTCAGTGGAGAATGTTCATGAGGATGAAGAAGAAGATGCCACGGTTGCTGAGCTGGCTGCTCCTTACTGGGAACGACCACTTGATGGTCCAACGTGGTGGTGCCACGTGGATGCTAGCCATCAAGGTGTTGCCTCGTGGCTGCGGGATGCGCAGTGGTTACATCCGGCTGTTAGCGTTGCTCTAAGGGATGAAAGCAAGTTGATTAGTGAACGGATGAAACATATTTTCTATGAGGTAGTAAATAAAAATCTTTTGTTGGTTTTGTAATGTGGAGTGTATGTAGCTGAAGTAGATTGATTTTGTTAAAATAGGTTCCTGTAAGAGTTGCTGGTGGGTTGTTGTTTGAGTTGTTGGGACAATCAGCTGGTGATCCTTTTATAGAAGAAGATGATATTCCCATTGTGTTGAGGTCATGGCAAGCACAGAATTTTGTAGTGACTGCATTGCACGTTAAAGGGTTTGCTTCGAATATTAGTGTGTTAGGTATTACAGAAGTCCAGGTTCGTTCGTTCTTCTCTATCTCAAATCATTTCTTCTAGGCAGGTCTTAAGCTGATGCATTCCTCTCTTAACAGGAAATGCTAATTGCTGGTGGTGCCTGCATTCCAAGAACCATTCATCAACTAATCGCACATCTTGCATGCCGCCTTGCTCGCTGGGACGATAGGTTATCTTTTTATCAAGATATTTGAACCTTTTGATTATTATTCATACTGTGATGGTTGATGATATCGTCTCTTTGATGTAGGCTGTTTAGAAAGTATATATTTGGTGCAGCTGACGAAATCGAGTTGATGTTTATGAACAAGTACTACTTCAACTGAACCTACTCTTTTTTATCTTACACTGTTGCTTAACAACTCATTAACCCTCTGATTGAACATGGATTGTTTCTTGAAATCAGGAGAATGTACGAGGATCTAAATCTGTTTACTATAATCTTGAATCAAGAAATCAGAAGGCTTTCCACCCAGGTAATACTTTCTTCCTTGTTTGATCATCTTGTTTATGTTTACTTCCATATAAGTGTTGATAATACTCTTTATGTTTCTCGACTTTGTATCAGGTTATAAGGGTGAAATGGTCACTTCATGCTAGAGAAGAGATTGTGTTCGAGCTGCTTCAGCAACTAAAAGGCCATACAGCAAAAGACTTACTTGAAGGAATAAGAAACAGCACTCGCGATATGATCAATGAACAAGAAGCGGTCCGTGGTCGCTTATTCACTATCCAAGACGTCATGCAAAACACAGTTCGAGCATGGTTACAGGTAGACAATAACATAAGTACATAACTACTCTTCAAGTCTTCTTAACTTATTTTTCTATATACTTGATTAGGATCGAAGCCTCACGGTCACACACAACCTAGGAATCTTTGGAGGAGTGGGTCTTTTACTGACAATAGTAACTGGTCTATTTGGAATAAACGTAGATGGCATACCAGGAGCTGCAGATTCTCCACAAGCCTTTGCGCTTTTCTCAGCCATTCTTTTCTTCTCAGGCTTGGTGCTAGTGGTTGCGGCTTTGCTCTACCTTGGACTCAAGGAGCCAGAGACAGAAGAGAATGTGGAGATTAGAAAACAAGAGCTTGATGAAATGGTCAAGAAGTTTCAACAAGAAGCTGAATCTCATGCTAAGGTGTTTCAGAAAGTTCCTCAGAATATAGAACGCACGGCTAGTAGTACTGGTAGTAGAATGTTAGTCCATGATCCAAATGGTTACATTCTCTTGGAATAAAATCAAAATAAAAGGTTTGGTTCTCTTAATGTATTTGAAATCAAATAATGAAATGAATGTTAATACGTAATGACAATATGATGGAAAGTGAAATAATACGTACTTTTAATCAATTAAAAAAAAAAATTCTGCGTATAATTTACGTGATTATTAATGTCTATTTATCAAAAAAAAAAAAATTGAAACATTTCCCTTACCATAGCTGAAAAATTCCATCAAGTATGAAACCCGGGTTCGAGGCCACGTGGAGTCGTTTTCCTACTTTTTTTTCAAAATGATATTTCAAAATTTTCTTGACCTCTCAAACAAAATGAAACAAAAAAAAAATGTGGAAGTTGGAATCTCAGAAGAAGAAGTCGAAAGTGTGAGAGCCTTTGTCAGATGATGGCCTTGCATCTCTTCCCCGCTTCTCTTCACCCAATCTCAAACCTTTCTTCATCATCATCATCTCGATCGAAACAGAGACACCTCCTTCTCCAACTCTCTCCTCCTCCTCGCCTCCGTTCTGAGCTGAGCCAAAGCGGTGTCACCGAAGAAAACGACAACGATCCGTCTTCCTCCGGTAAACAAACAATTCGATCTCTACTGTTTGATTCTTTGTTTCCTTTATGTCAAAATTGAGTTCTGATGATAACTTTTTGATTGGTTTTACTGAAGGTTCATCATCAGCACGCACACAGTTAGATCTCCTCGAACAGCTAACTTCCACTAGCGACGGTATACCTCTACTCTTTAGACTTTGAGTTAATTGAATTAATTAAAATATTTCGAAAGTTTTAGACCATTTAATTAACTAGTTCAATGGTAAAAAGAAAAAGCATAGTTAGTTGGACAGTGTAAGAATTTAGATTTTTAAATGAAGTTATTACAGTCCAGACAATATGAAACCATGTTTTGTTTCTCATTAAAATATTCGAAGCCGAACTATTGGTCGGTAATGTTAGTTGGGTTTCAGTCTAGACATCATGTTAATAAAAAAATGTTTAGATATTTAAGTAAATGACAGAAAATAGGTTGACTTTTAGACATGGCTACTATTTTCTCTTAAGAATTGTCAAAATAAATAGTTTAATTACTTAGGGTTTATATATGTAATCTTCAGGGTACTTAAGTGATGGTGGTGGCTTGAGGGGACTAACAGTTCGTGATCAATTGGCTGGGCTTGTTGGTGACAGAGACGATGATTTCACCATTCCCTTGGGTAAGAACTTGAAGAAAGTGAGTCCTAAGTTCTTAACCACTTCTCAGAAAAGGAACATTAAGAGGCAAAGCTATCTTAACGAGGTCTCTCGGAGGAATGACTCTGTTTTCTTTGCTACTATCGGCGCCTTTGTTATCCTTCCACCTTTGTTGATCCTTGCGATTGCTATCTTAACTGGATATGTTCAACTCTTCCCATAAGTATGTATACAATAACGAACATGATCATTTATTTCAAATCTTGGTTCTATATATGTGTTAATTTTTATTTAAATAGGAAGATCATAGAGAATGAAAGACAATATATAGGATTTCATGTCTTATCTTGTGTACTACAATTTTTCAATAGTTTTGGGATTTGTTATATTGTTTCATCCAATTAATTATGATCCATATTTAAAAGTTGTTGTCGTACATAAAAATATAATATATTTGTGTTTTTCTTTGCTGTTAGAGAGTACTTCTGTTGCCCAAAAAAAAGAGAGAATATTTCTTCTTTAACTTAAAGCTATGTTTTCTCAGTGATTCAGACTAATTTATATATATGTAGTTTATGGAACAAGATGGCAATTAATAGTATAGAATATTAGTGTTATTAAAACATGGAAAAACAGGAGATGAACTTTTTTGCTGAATGAGAACCAAATCAGCATCAAACTTCAAAAACATCTCCCACAGGGGGAGATAGAAAGTTATTATTAAAAGTGTCTAGTGTTTCCATCTATAACAGAGCTAAGTTCATCCCAACTTGCTGCGTCTCCGATGAAATCTCCACCGTTGATGTTCCAGAGATTCAGGAAGTTGTTATCATGACAAGTATATGTCGGTTGATTGAAACCAACCGTAGTAACTTGGTTCCAGTAAGGATTCTGCGTCTGTGGCTGAAGCTGGGGCTCATGTAGCTTGTGGGACAAGGATTCTACGACGTGATGGCTGGTGTGATCTGAATCTAAGCTGCTCGTTTTGGAACATGAATCGGTTAAGGTGATAACCGGTCTACGGTTAGGTTGTACGATGGTTGGGTTTCGATGATGTGTGGCTCGTTTGAAGATTCTGCATAATGTCCATACCTCCTGCGTAAACAAGACCGACCCATCAATTTTTTTTCAGTTGTAATATCTGAAAACAATTTATGACTGCATGATGCTTTTTTATATTATGGTTTTTAATTCAAAGAACAATACATAAAATTAGTGGATGATATATTATGATTTTGTTGACTCAAAGCAAATATCAAATTTTAATGAATGGACACATTACTATACCTAAGGTTTAGCACAAAGTATATTCCATCAAACGGTATTAAAGGAAACAAATAATTAGTCTAGTGTGGACATATTCATGTATTTTAAAAATAATTTGATATTTCTTCTCATGATTTTATTGTTAAGTATAAAATTTAAAATTCAAGTCTATTGTCTAGTTTAAAAAAAAATATATATTAATAAAAGTTGGTCCCGTTTTCAGGAAAAAACTAGAATCTATATGATCAATACATTGCATGGAAATGTGCATTCGTGGCTGACTTTTTAAAGCATTTAACACCACGAATATAAGCAAATTGACTCATTAAGAATGGACAAGATGGTCTAGCATGATGCATACTGTTCTTGGTTAAATAAACCGGTTTGTTAATTTGCTCATAAGACAATTTAAACCAGTAACATGAAGCATGTAATATATTCAAAAAGAAACTAAACTTACTGCTGCTTGTTGAGTTGGCGACTCGGATTTTGTAGTGGAGGGGAGGCGAAATTCATGCATCATCCAATCGGTTTTAGAGCCCTTACCGGCTGAACCAATATAGTAAACTAGAGACTTCTTTAGGCCGATGCAATCATCAAGATAGTAAACTGGTTTATCAATACCGGTGGCTTTCCAGAAACCTGAACCGGTGACTCGGTTTGGTCTAACGCTATTCTTGTATTTCCTGCCTCTCATGCAGAAGAAGTACCACTCCTTTGCCCCAACGCTGCTCACTCCTAATAAAATCGACATTAAATGTTCATTTCATATATCTCCTTCATGATAAATATAAATTATGTATATACGTATCTGCCTAAAGGATCTATTATTTGGTTTACCTAATTATATATATTAGATATATTATTTGTTTTCTTGTATCGTTTTGATCCTTTCTGAACATACAGGATACCACTAGTTACTAGTGTCTTTGATTTGAGAAAAAAAAACGAAAAAAAAACTAGGGTGATCCAATATAAAGACTTACTTGGAAGATCCCAAGGATCGAACTTGTAGATATCAAACTGTTTAATAAGCTCAAGTTTGATAGGTTTGTTCTCTACTTTTCTTCGAAGATAATATACTAAAAGCTCTTCATCCGTCGGATGAAATCTGAATCCCGGAAGTTTGGCTTCATCATCTTCTTCATGATCATTACCTTGGCCACTCATCTTCACTACATCAATCTCTTTATATCACCAATCATGTCTCTCTAAATAAAAAGTTCTCCATACATATATATATAGGTAAATGCTTATGAGTATTTATGCCGTTCAACTGGTGCTCGGTCAATTACGAATGACTTTGACTATTATTATAGACACAAATTCTTGGTGTAAGTGTATAGTAATTTAATATTACAATTATAATGCAGGATCTTTTATAATCAAAATAATAAATTCATATATAGTATTTTGTATGGATATGATAAGAGGTTGGTGGTAATTTCACTAATATTTTAGGTTAGTTTTCCATTTTATTGAATTTGGAATATAGTTTATTTGATTTAAAATCAAATTTTATGTCATATTTGACAATTTCTCCATTTACTAATCCATATATCTTATGGTCTTTGTCATTTAAAAATACTTTTATTTTGAATGGTTTATATTATGAGTCTTAACAAACGTATTTTTTATAACCAGAGAATCATAAACCAAAAAACATAAACTAAGTTATTTAGTGTTTATTTTTTTTAATAAAATCTCTCTCGAAAACTAGTTACAAGTATGTTCTCTTTGTTATACTAAAATATATTGTATTATTTTGTCAAAGCAATATTATATTAAAATAAAGTTTTTTTTATTAATAAAAATCTCTCAAAATATACAAGATTTTAGGTGGTTTTTATATTAATTTAGTAAGGAATTAAATAAACTTAGGTGTTATATGGAGTGGGCAGTTTATAACTAGATCTCGATGTCCTATTTGTTGGTATGCAGAAAGTCCAGGGGAAATGGAAAATAATTGGATTGTTGATTGCAACTAATTTATATATGATGTAATATTGCTGACAAAAAGAAAAAAATATAGTATGATGCAATATTATATCGAAATTCAAACATTTCGTTATCCATAGTAGTTACGTATATGTAACAGTAATTATATCACGTAATCAATAAAACCGTAAGTTCAATATGTATACGTATAGGTGAATTCACGTGGTATGACCATATTATATATTTCCAAAATGTTGAAAAGATGAAATTATATGAAAATAAGATTTCTTTCTTCTTTAATATGGAAATTAGATGGTCACTCATACGAAGCAAAGGATAGCTTTTAAATATGCTCCATCTGTAGACACAACTATATTGATAGCCGCCCGGGGAGCCAAATACAAACGTCGATGGTAAACAAAATATATATTGAATAATAAAATTACATATCATTAACTTCTGCATTCCAAGGTGTTTGCTGTACGCTTAGCATTAGACCTGGACATTTTACCCGGACCCGAAAACTCGAATCGGAATCGATCCGAAAATACCCGACCCGAAAATTTACAAGTACCTATTGGGTCTAAAATTCTTTTACCCGAATAGACCCGGATTCGAAAAGAACCGACTCGAATAGACCCGACCCGAAAAGAACCGACCCGAATAGACTCGACCAGATAAGAACTGATTTGTACCCGACTTATAAACATGTATATCCAAAATTATTATTTTTGTGTTATGTTTTATATATCTATACTATTTTATAATTTAGTAAAAATATATTTTGTTAACAATATTTATTATTATTTGTAACATTTTTAAGTAATATAAAGTTTTAAAATGTAAATTTTAGAGTTTAAAAATGTTTTCTTTAATTATTAATAGTTTAAATTAAGTTATTTTATAAAATTTTAGATATATATGAAAATATTGACTGAATTTGAGTGAGTTTGAGCATGTTATATATTTTTTAGATTCTAAATATCCGGACCCGATCCGGACCCGATATGAATCCAAAAATTACGGGTATTTTACAGGTATTGGAATTATAGACCCGAACCGACCCGGACCCGACAAGACCCAACCCGGACCCGAAAAATCATAGGTGCCCCTATGGATCTAAATTTCCAAGACCCAAAAGACCCGGACCCGACATGACCCGACCCGAACCCAATCCGAGGACCCGGATGCCCAGGCCTACTTAGGATGATGTACTATACTACTTTTTGTTATAATTCTAAATATTCAGTAACTAGTATATGTGGTGGACAGATTCACAAGAGGTTTCTTGCAAGGAAGATATACGACAAACTGATGATTAATCACCTATCTACTCACAGATCCACACATGGACCATTCTTCTTAATTTATGACTTGATATGTTGAATTCAAATCCACAGTTCATACTATACAAAGGGTGAAGAAAATTCCTAGATACGAAAAAGTTGCTTCCCCACCACAGCAGCTAATGACAATCATCGACAAAAACATTAAAAACCAGTTCAACTTGATGACATTTCTATCAACAACAAATATGAGAACAATCTTAATGTTTTTTCTTGCCACCAAAACTCTAATTGCCAGTTGTATATGCTGTTTTAGACTCTTCAAACTCTATTATAATTCTGATGTACCAAAAGATTTTAAACACATAGTAAATAGTAGTTAGTTTCATATTTTCTAACGACAGTACTCATAACTACTCAACTCTTATTACACTTGCCTATCGTGGCATTGGTTGAACATATGTAGTAAGGCATGCATGACGTAAAGCTGACGTCTGCATTATCACATTTTGTGATAAGCTAATCTATCAAATAACACAGAGAAAATAAAAAGCAAAAAGAAACAATTATAGGGGTTAGTTGGAATCTGCCCTAGATGAAATTTAAAACGACAGCAAGGAGAAATAGAATATCAAAGTAAAGGACAGACAATAACTTAGCTTTGCTACCATTGATCTAATATAACATTCAAAGTCCATAGTTTGACTGTTGAATATTATCATAAATGTTCAAT